CCACACCATAAGTGACGACGGCTTTCACAAAATGCAATGTTTTCTGCCAATGAAATGGTTAGCCTGTTGTAGTTGTATTCTATCATTTGTCACTAATTAAAGGATAAAGGATAAAGCATTTGCCGTTGATCAATCCCTTTTTGGGATGCGGCACGCATTCTACTTCCATTTGTACATTCGTAGTGGCGTTTGAATGCGATGTGGCCTATACAATGACTTGCGGGGGCCAGCCGATGTACAAGTCAGTGTTTTTATCCTCCCAGACAAGTCTGGTACCAATTAACCGACCCCGGAGGGATGGAAGGCTTGGTTGGCCCGGGCGACTCACGACCCAGGATTTGATCCCCGGACCGCTCGCGTGGTAAGCGTGCCACTTGCCACTACACCACTTCCGCCCTTGAACGTAATATAAATAAATAAATCTTCTAAATAAAGCAACGGGTGTTGGTCAAACACATTTCAGGAGAGCGCCACACGTTCACTCTTATCCGGAATAAAAGTGGTAAATAGCCTATAGTGATATACAACAGAAGCTTGCAGAAGATAGCTGATCTGTAGGGCAGTTTTTCGTTATTCAAATCAATGCAAATCCCATAACCTTATCATTAAAAAGTAGAAGACCCTAGCGGGATTAGGCCCCAAATTCCCGGAAGGGCTCCAGCTGGTATGATGCTTCTTCACCGACGATTTGACATGAGCTCCTCTTCTTGTTAGGCCTTTAAACAACAACGCCAGACGAAGTTGTGTTTTGAGAATCTATTCAGTGGTGAGATAAACCGCCTGCGAGCATCACAGATGTATCCTTGTTCCGGCTCAAATGTGAACGAAAAGGGCGCTAGGGCCTTACAAAGTGATCTGATAGCGGTTAATATGAACTTATGGACGAGATACCTCGCGCACACCCCAGGGTACAAAACGCGGCTCATGACGTAATCCGAATACGCATGAGTTAGTTGGTCCATGGAGCAAGCAATTTCAGACAACTCGTCCGACACGCCTCTCCTTCAATGCAAGAGGGAAGAGAGGGATCCTTGTGCAAGGGCTTTGTCGGTGGTTTGCTTTGCTTCTTTTTTTCATTTTTAGTCAACTCAGCACCCACGATTTCACTATCGACCGCTATTACCCCACCAATTTGATCTGGTTTTTGCTTTAGGTCTCTTCAGACTAGTAGAATCAATGCAGCTTGCATGTTAACCAGCTGATCGTAGCTGCTCAAAGCTACACTACAGGGAAATAATCTATACATCATTCTATTTATGTGGAGAAGGAATGCGATACGATCATGATTCGGTAGTCTAACAAAGTGAAAGCGGTAACGAACGAGAGCCGCATCAATCGAGAACGCTACCGACTTGATCAACGCGATACTGGTTTGGTCGGCGTTCAGCTGATGGCCTCCTCTCTCCTTGTACCGGCTACTACTGGGCTATCAGTCTCCTTTCTCGGCAATCATCACCGAAATGGGGTCCAGCTGTGCAAAACCGCCCGTTATCAGCTGTCTGCGAAAAACAAGTAGACCAGATCACAACAGTGATTTATCGCCAACCACACCGCTTTTGTCTCATCCGCAAAGCGATTTCTCTTTTGCTCAACCCATAAATGGTTTTAGAACTAGAATACGGAATTGCGTCATCAAACAATGGGAATGGATAAAATAAGAAATACGGTGGTTTCAAAACAAGAGCGATTCGTCCTGCGCGGTAATAGTCGGATTTTGCATACGGTAACAGAAGCTTCATAGTGGGACAATGTTAGGGGCAACCATTAAAGAATAATTGTCCAAATGAGGGTTAATGTTATCAATAAGAGAACCAGAAATGACACGAGACCACAGAGAGCAGTCAAGGGGGGTCAGGTAGAGGTTGCCAAAACCTCCGCCTACCTGGACAGAGAACAAAAAACCAACTTCCGCACTTTGGCAGCGCTGAACTCCGCTTGCCTGCTTCGACGTCCAGAATGATAACTTTACTGGGTTGAACGGAACCTAAAGATGCCAGGAGGAGAGAAGTTGAAGCTTGAGGCCAACCCCCCATACTGATGGAATATACTCGAACATCTCGCCCTGCCGCAAAATACGGTGGGATTGTGATGACATTACATTTCAAACGGGGAACATCTTCCTTTAAAAAACAACAGGAGCAACCATTAGGCCAGCGGCATGAGAGATTCAGGTGCACGAAAATCTCTATACTCCTCCGCTCAACAAGCCGGCGTTTTCACCCATGGTTGAATCCTGCAAAGTGCCCGTAGGTTTCAATGATTCTCCATTGTTTTGAAACTCTTCAAGCAATGGCTGCCTTTATTCCGACTCCTTTTCGCAACGCGAATTAGCACGGAGCAACAGCCCTATAGCTCTTTAACTTCACCTAAGCAACCAAAATTTGCTACCCATCCTGGATCATGTGGCGCAGCAATAATGAATAGTAACCACATGAGGGTGACACCGCAATATTTTATTGATTCACTTGCTATAGTTTCATGCTTGACAGTTAGAAGCGTCTCTGTTCCTAAAAATGACCCAACAGTATCACCATCTTCCCTTACGGGGAATGAAGCCCCCACTCCCCTTCAGGAGATACTGTTTCTGGCCCGAAGCCATTGCTCGAGCCTACAGAAAAATCGCACAGTGTGAGCCATCAGCTACGCTGTATGAAACAGATTTGATATACATGGAAACTTGAACACAGCCAATTAACAGTTGGTCAAATATCGAGGAATCATAGAGGGCTAAACAGAGCGGCTTTTTTCCTCCGGGGCCTCGTTGCAAAAAGCAGAGAGATGAACGCACACGGATCTCAATAACAGGACTCGGCCCTCGACCAGCCTCCTCCCCTCGCAACGATAGCGGCGCGAATCAGGTCCAACCCATATCGTGACAATAGTCATCCACCGTGCCTGACAAGCTCTGCACCCGGACGCAATGCATTACACGCGGCTGCACGCGCGCAAAGAATTGGAAAGGTCTTCATGAACAAGAACTCTCATACCCCTCCGCTCATCCCCCGCCAGCCACGGGTCCAGAGAACATCTCCTTCCACTCAATTTATCGAAGAAACATCTGCTCGAAGCTGCTGCATGTCGCGCGCCATCGCTGCCGTCGCTCTCAGACATCGTTCCGTAGAACCTGAAATCAGAGAAACATAATCAAAATCGTTCGACATGCGAGATGAAACCGAACATAGCCACTTCTCATCGCGCACGCTCTCGTGGTCGAAGGCCTCAATCGAATATCACCTAAGCGGAACTCGCGCCGCTCCATTCTGTCCGTGATCGTCAGTGGTAACGACAGATGTCTGATAGGAAAAAATACTGACTTCACTGGTCAGAGACTCTGATGAGAGCCCAAATTCCAGAACGTCATTGGCTAACAGCCTTGAATCCCGCAGCTTATGTTAGGCCTCACGGGCAGAGCTTGTGCGTTGCTTTCTGAACATAAGAGAATCCTCTAACCAACCTGCCTGAATGTTCAGCAGCAGCGATAAGGCTGGCCGTAAATCGGAAAAATATTACTTCGCCCCAAAGACGCACGGAAACGGTGAGGAAGCAATAACAGCATCATCGACAAAACAGTTGTATTATAAAATAAGCCCGCAAAAAAAAAGAACCAGGATCTGTATTGCAAGGGAGCATGTGATCATCACCACATTACTGGCTTGCACCAGTGCCGTTAACAACCACACCAACATTCAAACACTGCCACGCGTTTTGAGGTAACCCGCAAACGCATGCGCGTCCAAGTGGACTGAGTAACCCCGAAAGCTTTCAACATTTTTGGTAGCCGCTAATTGATTTTGGGTTTTCGGTTTGATGGATTCACACAATTTAAGCGAATGGGAGTGTGTATACGAAACAAGATTTCTAGCAGAACGTGCTTTGCGTGCCTGCCTTTTTGTTTATTGCGAGTTTTCTAAGATCTATGTGAAACATCTCATAATCTTTTTGAAGAACGTATACGCAACAAACTCATTCCCCCATGAGTACTAACCTTCATACGGAATATCCACGGTAAATTTTAACAGGGCGCGGAAGTGGTGTAGTGGCAAGTGGCACGCTTACCACGCGAGCGGTCCGGGGATCAAATCCTGGGTCGTGAGTCGCCCGGGCCAACCAAGCCTTCCATCCCTCCGGGGTCGGTTAATTGGTACCAGACTTGTCTGGGATAAAAACACTGACTTGTACATCGGCTGGCCCCGCAAGTCATTGTATAGGCCACATCGCATTCAAACGCCACTACGAATGTACAAATGGAAGTAGAATGCGTGCCGCATCCCAAAAAGGGATTGATCAACGGCAAATGCTTTATCCTTTTATCCTTAAATTTTTACCAGGATCCCATCAGTCTTAAAAATGATGCAGAGACTCGGATTGCGGCCCTGCTTGTGCCTCTCACGCCGCGTATTTCTGCCGCTGACCCTCAACATCGCTGGGTGCGTGATATGTTTTGTGATGCTTCTAATCAGGAAGTGCAAGTGAAAAGAAACGGTGACGGGCGTCAATGTTCCAACCGTTTTTTCGGGATAGGTATGCGATTTCTACAGGGCGCCTGCTCCGGTTCCGTCTGCGCTCCAACTAGGCGGCGATGGGATGGTGTCGATGGTGGAGATGGTCGACATGGTGGAGGCGGAGTCATGGTCTCGACCAAGTACAAAAGGCGCAGCGTTCAGCTCTACAAATCACCACATCCATCCAGCTTCCTCTCTCATCTCATCCTTCCACAACTGTAACGAAGAGAGACGAGATGGAGTCCGACGGCCGAACAAAGGCCTACAAATTTGTCGCCTATGCGGCCGTCTCATTCTCGATTGTGGCTGTACTGTCCGTAGTACTTACACTACCCATGGTCTATAATTACGTAAACCATGTACGACGACAAATGCAACACGAAATCTCCTTCTGCAAGGTAATTTTTCTTTAAATTTTCTCTTAATTATTTTTTTCCATTCTCTTTGCTCATATTTCACCATATCACTTTCGCTTTTTTGTTGAAGAACCCATTTCAAAACCGATCCTTCAGGGATCCGCTAAGGACATTTTCGCTGAAGTCAACTTTATGAAAGCCCACACTGGTCCCTCTGCCCCACAGAATCGTACTTCCCGTCAGTCCGGTTACGGTGCACCAGAAGTTAATCCTGCACCAAATCTCCAGTGCGAGGGCTGCTGTCTGCCTGGACCACCTGGACCAGCTGGAGTTCCCGGTAAGCCTGGAAAGCCCGGTCGTCCTGGAGCACCCGGTACCCCTGGAGTGCCCGGAAAACCACCCTACTGCACCATGTGAGCCCACCACTCCACCACCATGCAAGCCTTGCCCACAAGGACCACCCGGACCACCCGGACCTCCTGGACCACCCGGAGACCCAGGAGAGGCTGGTACCCCTGGACGCCCTGGAACTGATGCACCTAATGGACAGCCCGGACCTCGTGGACCACCAGGACCAGCAGGAGAACCTGGACAGCCCGGACCTCAAGGAGATCCCGGAGTGCCAGCACAGAGCGAGCCTCTCACACCCGGAGCACCCGGAGAGCCAGGAGACCCAGGTTTGTTGCTGCTTAACTTTCATTTCGACCATATTATTTGTTAACCTACAGTGTTTACATTGCTTACAAACAGTACTGTAAGGAAGCTTTTCCAGGACCACCCGGACCACCCGGACCTCCTGGAGCACCCGGAAACGATGGAGCCCCTGGACCAGCTGGACCCAAGGGAGCACCAGGACCCGATGGACCACCTGGAGTGGATGGACAGGCTGGACCTCCTGGACCACCCGGAGCACCCGGTATTGCCGGAGAGAAGGGTATCTGCCCCAAATACTGCGCCATCGATGGTGGAGTGTTCTTCGAGGATGGAACTCGACGTTAAATCAACAAACAACGACTACGACGTCTTCAACTCGCCAGATGACGACGTACAGCGACGTTGGCGTCGCTCAGCTGTCATCGGTGCTTCTACTTATCTCCTCGTCACTCTCTCATCACTCATTTCGGTGCAATCAATCTACCTGAGTCGCTAATAAAATCTCGTGTCCTAATTTGACACTATAGTTGTCCTGTTCTGGTCGAAGTCCTCATAGCGTACGTTCCCCTACGGTACGCGCTCTTATTCACACATAAATATTGATCCACGAAACGATCAATACTATTCTATTATGCATTTGAGTCATGTAAGCGCTATACATATTTGAATTGCTTTGTAGAAAGTCACTCAGTCAGTTGAACAAAGCCAAGGTTTTCACGAATGCTGTTTATGCTTCGTCTATGATCGCCATAGAAAATTGTGTATATTGAAGTATATATTATTGATTGGTCAAGGATTTAATAAATGTAGCGAAATGAAAAGTGCATCACGCGCATTTGGGATTGATTTCATGGACGATTTCACGAGCACCAGTTGCCCAGTTCGAGATGATTCGATGGGTCGCTCATGTCGTGCGGGGGTGAAGACGAGCTGGCGGTGTCGTAGCGTTAAGTCACTTAGCAAGTTTCGGTCAGTTTCGGTCAGTCAGTGTCACATTTGTCCGAGATCTGCTCGACGGAAAGATCCCCTCAGTAATGAACGAGAGAAGGGAAAACGTGGTTTGGGATCGATCACGGGATTCCGCTTTGAACCCGACCCTATTGACCGCGTCATCCGTCAGGTGTGCCTCATTAGATTTGAACGGATGTTATTGTCTTTCTCCGCTCCAACCCTCAAAGAAGGGTAGGAACTCCCTGATTTTTGTTCAATAACGGGTGACCATCGGGTCAAAAGGATAACCAGCCAGTCAGGGGTTAGGGGATAGCCTTTAGCCCTCTAATTCTAGACACAACCCGACACGCGCCCCAAATATGGGCAAAAACTGCGCCAAAGCTTCATGTTTATCGACCTGCTCGTTGTTTTCACGCATTATTTGTTTCGGGAGGCTATCAACCACTTCGGTAGCTACTGCATTTAACAGAGGTAGCTAAGATGAAACGTAACGCGGACAAGGTTTTTTTCTCCTTAGTGTTAGCTCAAGGCTTTTGAAGGTTTCGCTGCTTTCTTCAACCTAAAACTTCCCCTGCTGTAACTTTGACCTCACAGGGGAGGTCACTTATGGGATGCTGCCAGTCTTTTTCAAATGGCTCCTTCCCATAATGAGGGGACCACAGAACCATGGTTCATTTTTCCTGAACGGCCCTCTGAATACCAGAAAAGGGGGTCCCTAGTTCGATTCCTCGTGGTGACAATTTTTGCATTTCGAGTTGACGTTCCAAAATTAGCGCAAAATGGAGTTAGCATTGAAATTAGCACCATATTCATGTTATTAAGACCGTGTCAGTAACTTTAAATAGAGCATTGATTAAAAAACTGTCTCGTGAAAAAGTGTCGACATCAAAACGACCTCGCTGTGATGTCACATTGTTTTCCACCGAGCTTTCTTTGATCAAAGTCTTATATTTAAAGAGTTGCGCATTCCTTAGCTCATGTGAATAATGGAATCTATTATTATTCGCTAACTCTAGCTTTGCGCTGAACATTTTTGAACCAACGTCAACTCGAAAGTGCAACAAATTTGTCGCCGATGAGTATCGGGAATAAGCGACGCGCGCTATCTGTATCAGAGGCGCGTTCAGAAAAAACGCGACCATTGTTCTGGGACGTTCTCACATATTAGTGTCCGAATGTCAGTAAGAACCGAACCATTTTGAAGAAAGCTGGCACACCCTGAACGACCCTTCCACTTTTGTTCGATTTCCTCGCGCATTTGAAATTTTTCGCATTTTTTTCTGACTCCTGTTGGTCGCCTGCCCTGCGCTTCAGAGTGTCAATACCATCGCAGCCACTGATGTTGCGCTTGCACATGAATCAGGATCAAGTCTGTATCACCGCTTTACCTCTTGTTATGATTTGGACACGGAAGATAACCACTTCGGGCAGTCCTACGCCAGCGGATAGATTGCATGGGCCCTTATCATGCAGAGCAGATCTGAGTTGTGGGTCTTCAGGGAGAAGTATTGCCACGAATGGGCATGACGACGAAATGAAATCGGCAAATGCGGATGAAAACAGTGGAAATCTCGGCGCCAAAATCTAATCTCCTTCAAGTGTCCACATACTTTTGAAACAAAGAAAAAAATTTCCATTCAAAAACTTTTCCGAAAGTGAAAGTGATATTATCTGCTTTGCTTTCATTACACAGGTTATCGACTACTTACCCTCCCTTCAAAAAGCCAGAAATTGTGCGGTGCAGACCATACACCACAAGTGACGACGGCCTCAAAGTAAATCTGGTTAGTAGTGGTTCATAGTGATAGCTGATTTTTAGTAAATGATAGTTGTAATTACTGTCAACTGATCGAATACAACTGTAACAGGTTCATTTCATTGGCAAAAACATTTGCATTTTCTGGAGGCCGTCGTCACTTGTGGTGTATGGTCTGCACCCGACACTTTCTGGCTTTTTGAAGGGAGAGGTTAATAAATGGGAGAAGGTTTCATAGCACGAGACTCTCAAATACCTTTCAACACAGAGATTTTGACGGTGTCCAATACGGTCTTGAAATGCACTGTATTTGGCTTCACATGTCTTCTTACGCCTGCATGCAATCAACGGATAAATCGACTTCCCATTTCCTTCTGCCCAGAAGAAAGCCCTTCAGAGTAGTGCCATGATTCTTGAAACGCCAGCAGTGTTAACGGCAAAAAGGCTTAGGGCCCATTTGGTAGAACCAGTCACCCTAGATACTGAATCTCAAGGACCTTTCAATAACGTTTTCATGGTTACTTTGGGAGATTTTCGAAAAGGACGTCAGTGATATTCGTGGAGCATTACGCGTCTGGAGCCCTCATGTCTCTGATCTTGACCTCAAGGTAAAGGGTGAGACCGAAATTCACATTTTTCATCGGCATTTAAATCTGAATAATGGCACTTTGCTGAACCCAAACACGATGATTCTGATTTATAATTGAAGAGCTTCTCAAATTCTACTAAAAAACTTCGTAATGACCTTCCTATGTATATATAAGCGAAATTAGAAGAAACTGCTAGTTGAAGATGGCGTAAGGTTGAGCCTAAGGAAAGCATCGATGAATCCTGGGAGAACTTCGACCATATCTGACGTTAATTCGCAGGTCGATCGAGATCCGTACATCATGTGTACGTCATGTGAATCTATAATGACTCTTAGGCCAGACGACTGGATATCTTATAACGTCATACGAATATCAAGATGACCGCCGATCAAGTGATCATAGTTCTTCAGGAAAGCTTTGAAAGAAAGAAATAATAAACTACGTGTCTCCCGGGCGAGAAGTACCCACACTGGAGCATTTTGGCATGCAACTGGGACGAATGGAGACGTCAGTGAAGCTGAAAAATGGAAAAAATGAAGCCAAACAAGAAGTAAGAGGAGGTGAAAGATGATGCGACCCATCGGAAGCCATTTTGTTGAAACCTACCGATTGCTTTTACATCTGATTCGTCCGAGAACTCAAAAGAAGCGATTCGATTAGGCAAGCGACCTCTGAGCCACTAAAGTGAACGAAATGGGACTGTTGGGGAAACCCGAAAGAAGATTTCTTCCTATCTCTCAATGAGGAAATCACCCGACCCTCATTTTTGTTCATCTCCGAGCGAGCATCAATCAGCCGGGTTCAACACAATCTGAAGCACTTTTGTGTAATCTGGCGCATTTAAGTAAGAGCATATTGGTCGGATGTCGTACTGTTGAACTTTCCAAGGTCTTAGGAGTCACACAGAAAACTGGCAGATTAACTCAAGAGAGGAAAGACTGGCCAAGAGCTTACGCCATTGCTAGCACACAGATCCGTTAGGTTTTCTTCCAGGGCAACTATGGCCAGGGCAATTAGCTTTTTACGTGTCAACCGCTTATAACAGTACGGAAACGGGCGCGAACCCCGGGCGTATGCAGTAGGATGACCTCCATTCCATGTCGGTATGATTTTACTGCTGCACATAGGGTGATTCCGTGAGCAACTCCATTGCATGGTTTCTCGAAAAAGGTCCACTGAATAGTATGGCTTTTGTACCTTCAAAATGGTCCGCTCGCGAAAGGGGCTCCACGGTCATGAAGCGCAGATCGAGTAATGCTTTTCGACGTCTCCTCTAGTAAGATCCGGCCCGGTCCAAGCCATGAACCATCGTCCCTTGCCAGTGTCGTTTCTTCTGTCCATACTTTTGGAAGCCTTCTTCTTCTTCTCCAAAACCATTTCACTGGTGTCAGCCTTTCTGAAAGGGAAATTCTGCATGAGATTGCAGAAAACCCAATGAGCTTTCGTGGAAGTGAGAATCGGCACAGGTTCCGGCTGTGAGTAGAGGACGGATGCATGGCGCATTCCAATAGCATTCTTCTGCCTGAACGAAGTAAGTTTGTTAGTCTAATCAAACATCTTCAGATTACGCGGTAACTTTCTCCCCTTTAGTCATACTGCAGCGGTTCAACACCACAATGTAGGCAATTTAAAAGGCACAGCGGGAGACCCCGTTGGTGTCACAGGGACGCATGGCTACAACAAAACAAGCAAAGAACCTCCGTACCTGTTAATTCAAGTGTAGTCACTCCACACCTTCCTCGGTTGGAGAGAGCCAGTTTTTGTCTTTTAGTTGTTTATTTCTCTCTCGTCCAACGTTTTAGTAAATCTTTTGATTATCATGTCGTCAGTTTCTCGCATTGTAAAATCCGACCAGGTGATCGTTTGGAACTCACTAGCAAATATTGGTGACTTCAGAGGCATTTGCATTTGATAAATACTTTTATATATCTGAACTGTGAATGCTTATTTATTCTGCACATGGCTGTAAAGTCGGGTATTTCCTCCACTACACACATACCCCAGACAAGTCTCACCGACAGGGTAACACAAACTCCTGCATTGCCCTC